TGAGAAATGAAGAAAAAGCAACAAACTCTGCTTGAGGACGGCGAGAAAGCTTCCAAAATAAGGCAACGTTTAGGAGTTTCTCACACAGAAAACATTCCAGGCATCAGGCAGAGGAGACATATTAGGCACACATTGTAAAACATGGGTCAAGTTGTCTATAACTTATAACCTTGAATATTCAGAGAGGAAGACCAGTTCTTACCTAAAGTCAAGCACAAAGTCTAAGAGTAGTCTTCAAACAGAGCAATAAAGGGGAAAGGGAACAAATTTTTATAAAGTAACCACTTTGTATCAGGTGCCATGCTAGGCAATAGTATATAGGAACAACTGAAGTCATAATTAAGGCTGCTAACAGTACCTGCTCTTCCCCAGTTCTTTCCCTTAAGGAAGAGTCTGCTATGTTGACTCAGAGACCAGCCATCATTATCAGTCTAAAGGTGACTGATCGATTAACTGCCTAGTTGTCTATTACTCCTCTTCTCTAAGCAGTCCCTGATTTCCAGAGAAGGCTGAACTGCCTAGGCATCCAGATTCAATATTATGGCAGTAGTTCAGGCATATGCTAATCCAGAGAATGTACATTTGGGAGAAATTCAAGTGTTATTCTACAAGGCAAGTGCATCTTCCTCTGAGTAAGAGCCACTAGGTTTTTTTTTTTTTTTTTTTTTTTAAAAGAACCACGTTTGTATACTGAACACAGGGAAACCCATAGAACTAAAGCTTCTTACTGATTGTTTTTTTTTCCCTCCATCAGGTATGAAGATGATAAAAAAGAATGGGCCGGGATGTTGAAGGAAATACGTTATGCTTCAGGAGCTAGTTGCCTAGCAACACGTTTAAATCTCTTCAAACTGTCTAAACTATAAACAAGACGACAAAACAATAGATTGGGAGGTGGTTTGTTTGGTTTAATGGGGCTTTAATTTATTCAGTTTTTCAAAAGCTTGTACAGAGACTCATGTAGAAATTATTCAGGAAATTACTGTCTAAGAGATGAGCAGTAGGTATCAAAACCTCAAAGTCATTGAATCTTTAGTGTCATGATCAGTGTTTTAGAATCATTTTCTAATAATAAATTAAAGATTCTTGAACAAATTATTTCTTTTGTGAATCTGTCTCACTTAGTAGATTGTAAAGGAAGTTTCTAAATTTGAATTGTTTACAAATTGTTTTATCTGCATTGTTAGGATACCTCTACATTCATTTTCTATTACAAATAGAGGTAGAGAATGAAATATATACAACTACAGTAAAAAAAATACTTAAAATATCCAAAACCTTTCCTCATGTTTCAAGATGGCAAGAATCCTGCACATTATGTTAAAGATTATATGCCTTAAGGTTTCAGAAATGCTATTTAGAAGTAAAATCAATGGGTCTCATTTGAAGGGGAAAAGTCTTTAAGTAAAAGTAATCAAATTCAGAGGGCCTTTTTTTCTCCATTCTTTTTACAACAGTAGCATATTGTGGTTTCTAAATCAAATTTAAAAAATTTTAAGCATAAAACCAGTAAATCACAGTCTTCAAGCCATTAACTACAGCATCTGTGGCAGGAGGGTGGAGATTGATTCTCCACCCTCAATCAAGAGCAGAAACTGGGGGCAGTGGGTGATGTGGAGAAGGGTGTGTATTCGCTGGTTTACATTTTAGCTATACTTTTCATGAAAGAGCTACCTATTTGCTAAATTTCTGATAGCAAGGAAAGTGACTGTATTATTCCATTTTTCTGGGATGTGGGGCGCTACAGCCACTGCTTCTTCTGCAGTAAGTTAACTCCTCAGTCACCTCTATGCAAGACATCAATTAATCATCACTTTTCTCTTAGCCATACCAATTTATGGGTCTCACATGGTTTTCTTTCTTTCTATTTTGAGTCACAGTCTCATTCTGTCACCCAGGCTGGAGTGCAGTAGCATGCTCAGGCATCGCAGCCTCGACCTGCTGGGTTCAGTCGATCTTTCTGCCTCAGCCTTCTAAGTAGCTGGAACTACAGGCATGCACAACCATGCCTGGCTAATTTTTTTATTTATTGTAGAGACGAGGTCTTGCCGTGTTGCCTAGACTGGTTTCAAACCTGTGGGCTCAGGCAATCGTCTCTCCTCAGCCTACCAAAGTGCTGGGATTACAATTGTGAGCCACAGCGCCTGGCCAACATGGCTTTCCTAGACATATATTTGACTTTTATCTTTACACATGTTATTTTCTGAGAAGCTTGACTTGGGACTAATTTGGGTCATTCATGATCATTTATCAAGCACTTGCATATAGAACAGATTTAACAGATTTAAGTGTTCATACAGTTTTATTTTCTCTACCATACATATAGAAACATATTTAACAAAAACCCACTTTATTTTAGGTATTTCAAGTAGAATCCTGATCACTTATCTGCATTGGAAAATATTGCTCTTAGTTATACCATGAGTATAGTATCAACAAATCCCAATAGCTGAAAACCCTACTTTTCTTCAACACATAAAGTGTTATTAGGAAAGCAATAGAAGGGGTCACTTATAAATATAGACTCAGGCTGGGAGTAGTGGCTCACACCTATAATCCCAGCACTTTGGAAGATTGAGGGGGAAGGATTGCTTGAGGCCAGGAGTTCAAGACCAGTCTGAGCAACGTAGTAAGACTCCAACTCTACAAAAACTTAAGAAATTAGGCACACACCTCTAGTCCTAGCTACTTGGGAGGCTGAAGCAGGAAGACTGCTTGAGCCCAGGAGGTGGAGGCTGCAGTGAGCCAAGATCACACCACTGCACACCGTCTGGGTGACAAAGCGAGACCCTGTCTCTTAAAAAAAAAAAAGGAAAGGAAAAATCATAAGAGTGGGCATGGTGTCTTACACCTGTAATCTCAGCATTTAGGGAAGCTGAGGCTGGAAGATCACTTGAGCCTGTGGTTGCAGCTACTCGGGAGGTTAAGATGGAAGGATTGCCTGAGTCTAGGAGGTTGAGGCTTACCACAGTAAGCCAGGGTCATGCTATTGCACTCCAGTCTGGGCAACAGAGTTATACTCTAACTAAAAAAAAAATGTGGGGAGAAGGATGGTGGAGGCAGGGATTATGGTGCCCAGAGATGCACATCTGGGCAATAACACTGTTATAAGTGCTTACCAGTTACTTTTGGGGAGAAACTGCAAATCTATGTAGATGAAAAATTAAGTTACAAAAATAATGCTTTTTACGGAGTTTCTTTTAGGGATGATGAAATTTTTCTGGAATTAGTGGTGATGGTTGCACAAATATACTAAAAAAAATTGAATCTTACACTTTTGAAGGGTGAATTTTATGGTGTATAAATTACATCTCAATGAAAAAATGCTTTGTTTATAACAGAGTAATTTAGATATAACAATATATACATATAATGAAAACATTTGAAGCACCTAGAGAAAGGAGAGTAAAAGGTTAGATCATGTGTTAACAGTCAGTGAAAGGTACCTCAGGGTTATCAAGATTTCCATGTACCTCAAGTGTACAATAACTGAATTATCAAGTATTTCTATCCAAAAGAAACAATTTATAATCCTCATTAGCCTAATCATTTTATTCTAAAAGTTGCAGAGTATTAACCTATTCAAGGGCTTAGGTCTTGTTATCACTTGCTTGAGAAGTAGAACACATTCATGAAAATTAAACACTTAGAATTTAACATTTCCGTTAATATACTGAATATCATGAAGAAATTCAGAAGGAGGGAGACTGGTTACAAGGCAACATCTTTCACTTACTATTCTGGTTCTATTTTTTCACAGAAGGTTCTGTGAAATTCACATTTTGCAAAATCATTAAGTATTGCGGCTCAAGTCATGCAGGGTCACTGAATATTTGAAACATGTACTTCAACTAAGCCTAAGCCAAATATCAATGGAACAAATTACATGCAGGACACCTTTTAAAGCTATGCTTATGATTGAAGGCCCCCTGGCCAGCAACTTATTGTGGGACCAGAGTGAACTTAAAGGGTCATGGAGTCAGAAGATAGCCTAGTTTCTGATGGCCAATTATCTCTACCCCAACCAGGTAGCCTGAGGGTATAACATTAACTTTTAGCTGAGCACAAATATATCACTCTTGGAGGAAGGGCTGGGGATTATATCACAGAGTAGACCCTGAGTAACCACTGTATTGGGTAAATGTGTGTGAAACAGACAAATAAAATCATTATTCCATCAGCATGTGTAGGACCACACCATGTAAGGTTGGTCCATTCAGCTACCTCCCCATTTCTTTGCCTCTATTTAGAAGAAAACACCAGCTCCTTCCACTTTCTCTTGAATCAGTCAGGCTTTCACACCCACCACTTCAAAATGACTCTTTTCAAGGTACTAATGATTTTCATTTACTAAATTTAGTGGGCATTTCCGAGTCCTCCTCTTATCTTACCTATCAGCATCATCTAACGTAACTACTCACCTCCTCCTCAAGATGGTTTTCCACTTGACTTCTAGGAAATATTACCACCTTTTCTGACTTTTCCTCCTACCTCATTGGCCACCCCTGGTCAGTCTACTTTGCTGATTCCTCTTCCTCCTCTTGATCTTTTAAGGTTGGGGTGGCCCAGAGCTCAGTCCTCAGACCTCTCCTCCATATACACTCTTGTCTAATCACATCTTAAGTGATTCCATCTAGGCTCATGACATTAAATACTGCTGACAACTTACAAATTTATACCTGGGGCCTAGACCTCTTCCCTGACCTCCAAACTCATTTACTAAATTCTGTTGGATATATCCACTTAGATGTTTAAAAGGCATCACAAACGCAACATGACTAAAACAAACTTGTGATCCACCCCCACCACCTTCCCCATCTTGCTCTTTCCATAGACTCCCACATCCCACTTAATGGTCATGACATCCTTTTAGATGCTTAGGACAAAAACTCAGAATTAGCCCTGACTCCTGTTTCTCCCTACTTGTTCTGAATCTCTTGTTTTTCTCAAACATACCAGACATGTTCCCACTCCAGGATACCTGTATCTATTATTTTTTCATTGAGGCAGGCCACTTAATTAAAGCAAGTCCTATGACACACCATGATAACTCACTTTAAATAAAAACTACAATCATGATTTGCCTTCTCCAAATATACGTTCTCTCAGGTAGTCCATCCGAGCATCCTTTTTTGACAGTACCATAGAGTTCCATTCAAAATGAGGAATCTGTAAAACAAGTAATGTAGCTTGAATGAGCGTTTTATTTTTATTTCTTATTTTCTGAGTCGGAGTCTCATTCTGTCACCCAGGCTGGAGTGCACTGGCATGCTCATGGCCACTGCAGCCTCAACCTCAATCCTTCTGCTCCAGCCTTCCAAGTAGCTAGAACCACAGGCATGTGCCACCAAACCAGGCTAAATTTTTGAATGATTGTAGAAATGAGGTCTCACCAAATTGCCCAGACTGGTTTCAAACCCCTGGACTCGGGCAATCCTCTCACCTCCACCTCCCAAAGTGCTGAGATTACAGGTATGAGCCACCGCGTCTGGCCTATTTTTTTTCTCCTACATATCTTTCAGTATTTCATGAGGCAAAAGTGACCTGACCACAGGAGGGTGTGCCTAACTCCAATTGACCACATAAGTCAGTAGGTACCCAACCCAAATGCTACAAAGGAAATTAACATCCCTTTCAGAGCAATCTTCGGACAACTCTGGGAGTAGAAATTTCTCTCTCTCTCTCCCCGCCTCTCTCTCGGTGTGTGTGTATCTTTGAATGACTGTTTTACAGCAACAACAACAAAAATCAGGGAAGACATATAAGTACTACTAAGCAAAGCTGTAGGAATTCTATGAAATGAATCATAGCCTATGAACCATTTTTGGACGCCTAGTGGGTCCTTCTTCCTGACAGTGCCTGGAAGACTTTTTTTCTGCCTCACAGCTCCATTCATCTTCCTGTTCCTACAATAGCAACAGCGGGTATTTTTTTCCTATATATCCTTCCATATTCAAAGATTAGTCTTTTTCTCTGTTAACTCTTTCCATGTCCACAGTGCCTCTCTCCTTTATAAGACAAATCAACAGATCTTTTAAAGATAATAAAAGAAATGATCATTTTTATTTCTAATTCTACCTAAGAAAATATGTTCTGTTTCAGGAATACTTTTTTTTTTGTAAGCATTGGGGTCTTACTCTGTTGTCCAGGCTAGAGTACAGTGGCATGATCATGGCTCAGTGCAGCCTCAAACTCCTGGGCTCAAGCAATCCTCCTGCTTCAGCCTCCCAAGTGGGACTACAAGTGTGCACCATCATGCTTGGCTGATTTAAAAACAAATTTTTAGAGACAGAGTCTTGCTGTGTTCCCCAGGATGGTATCAAACTTCTGGCCTCAAATGATGCCACCTCAGTCTTCCAAGTCACTGAGATTGCAGTGCCTGATCTGTTTCAGGGACATTTTAATGTAACTTTTTTAAAATATAAAAAAGGTAATTCTAGAACTTTCATATTAAAAGGAAATACATGTACAGTTTTTTAGAAGCTGAATTACTTAAGTTCTTCATACCTGAATTACACGATAGCCTAAGATCTCCAAATGTCGTTTTTTCATAGCAGACTTTCCTTTTAAGTGAGGGATGTTTCTACAAAAAGCTTTTGAATCCAAAAATTCCAAAGCAATCCTATGTAAAATAAAAACAAATATTTACTGCCAAAATCAAAATGAGAAACTGAACAATTACAAGACTTTCAGGAACAAGATTGCATGTTTATAAACTAACAAAAGCCAAGTGCATATAAAGGAATATACCAAGTTATTTTTCTACTTAAGAAATTAGTAAATAATAACAAATCTACTTATTTACACCAAATTATAGAAAATATGTGTCTGCTTCCATTCACTTGTTTGTCTATTATATACTGATGACACGCTTACTATATATAAGGCACAGTGAAGGGTGCAAAAATAAAGCGACACTGCTTACAGTCTAACAGACAACACTCAGTTTATATAAGTCACTGTAAGCAATGTAGGAAGTGGCTAAGTGCTATGAGAAAGTAGACAAGTAGGGGAGTGTGAAAGAAGATACTATTTTACTTCCACTTGAGGACAATTACTTTAGCACTTTTGTTAGGGAAATTGCCAGGCTTTGGACAGAAGCAGGAAGGACATTAAGGCTGAAGGCACAGGAAAAGAAAAGCAGAGTAGAATGCATGACACGTATGAGGAACAGATTCTACTACTTTCAATCCTCAATAACTGAGTTCATGATATTATGCCAAATTTAGCATTTAGATAAAATCCAAAACTAAGAAACCAATTACCTTTCAGCACCTGGGGGCAGCCTTGATCCAACTATTTGTGTATTTGATTCCCAGTGTATTTCTGGTAGTTTTCCCAAAGTGATATTATAGCTTCCATAAGGAAGAGGTTTTTTTCTTTTATCCAAGATACACTCAAAATCTTAAGGAAGTATAGAAATTAGCAGTATGAATTAGGTAAATTTTGACAGGTAAAAGTTTAAGATATGTTTTAAATATATACATATGTGTTTGTGTATATATATATATATATATATATACATATGAAAGAATGATAAATCTCCCTAATAATCCAACTTATAAGTTGTTTTTTTTTTTTTGAGTTGGAGTCTTACTCTGTCGCTCAGGCTGGAGTGTGTTGGCACGTTCACAGCCACCGCAGTCTTGACCTGCTGGGCTCAGGCGATCCTTCCACCTCAGCCTTCCAAGTAGCTGGAACTACTTGGAACTACTTGAATTATTGTAGAGACGAGGTCTCATCAAGTTGCCCAGGCTGGTCTCAAACCCCTGGACTCAGGCAATCCTCTCTCCTCGGCCTCCCAAAGTGCTGGGATTAGAGGCATGAGCCACCATGCCCAGCATATTTTATAAGATTTCTTATTGATTGATCTTTCTTTGGAAATCAGTCAATTAAAAAACCAACCAGCAAGAATTACTGACATATTTATTTACTTATTGAAAAGGGTACAATTGTGGACATTGTACAGGTAAAGTTTGGCCTCCCTTTGATCCTCATTTTGCCTGGTTTGAGATCAAGTACCCATATTGATGTTAATAATTTTATTTTTATCTTTTTAAGTCTCTTGGTCATATTTGCAGGAAGCTAAACCAACTCAGCTGGAAACTAGTAAAGACAAAGATTCAAGCATTTTTCCTTTCTTATATGAACTGTACATAAGGGTAACTAAATAGTTGATATGAGACAGTTCTTCTTAGACAAATTCCAGCTAATAAATGTAGAAGGGATGATAGATGAAGAATATTGCTACCTTGCCACCCCTATAAATGATGAATTTAGGCAATGAGTGATCATTAATAGCTGCTAAAATCAGTAGGTAAAAACCTGATGCGGAACTTTCTATTGAACTTATAAGCCGACAACACGCAAACCCAGTGATGAATCTTAATATAATAAAAAGAAGAAAACCAGTATTGTGTGCCTCCTGATATGATGCAATAAGAGGTACTTGACACAGTCTGGCCAAAAAAAGAAACATCTGGCCAGATTTAGTGGCTCACGCCTATAATCCTAGCACTTTGGGAGGTAGAGGGAGGAGGATTACTAGAAGTCAGGAGTTTGAGATCAACCTAGACAATAAAGCAAGACCTTGTCTCTACAAAAAATAAAATTAAAAAATTGCTGAGTGCAGTGGCACGATTCTGTAGACACAGCTACTCGGGAGGCCAGGAGTTCAAGGTTTTAGCCTGGGCCACAGAGCAAGACCCCATCTTTAAACAACAACAACAACAAAACTTAAAATCTAGCCAAGACTCTAGATATAACTACTGGTCTCTAGTCAATACAGAGGATACAGGAGCATATTAAATGATACCACAAGATTGCAATCAGAAAAGTCTAGAATGTAGAAAAAAATTATTCTCAAATTGTAAGTGAAAAAAGGGAAGAAGGTAGAACTTAAAAACCATATGTAATGTTCGGATCCCAATTTGAACAAATAAACTGTAAAATAAAACATAAAAGACAATCAAAACATAAAAGCTATGTGATGCTAAGAAATTATTGTTAATGGTTATGGAGTAATAATGATGGTATTGGCATTGTATTTCTGAAGTCATCCTTTTCTGTTAGATATACCACCTGAAATTAAAAGAATCAGGTGGAACCCTGGTGAGTGGGTGTTGGTAACTGCTGACCCTAAAAGTGGGTTTGTTATTCTACGTGTTTGAAACTTTTTGCATATGTTTAAAGCTTTTCCATAATAAAAACAATCATAAAAGTATTTAAACCAAGAAAAAGAGCCTGGATGTGGTGGCTCATGCCTGTAATCTCAGCACTTTTGAGAGGCCAACATGGAGAGGATCACTTGAGGCCCAGAAGTCAAGGCCAGCCCAGACAACGGGTGAGACCACTTTTCTAAAAAAACAGAATATTTAAAATCTGAGGCAGCAAGATCACTTGAGCCCAGGAGTTCAAGGATTCAGTGAGTTATGACTACACCACTGCACTCCAGCCTGGGTAACAAAGCAAAAACTTGTCGAAAAAAATAACAAAAAAGAAAAAGAAACAATAAATGAAAAGAGAAAGTTAATTATCAATTTTTTATACATAAGAGAAACTGGGGCGCTAAACTATCTCCAAGTTAATTATGAAACATGAAATATATAGTTCTCTCATTAAGAGAATGAATTCTGGGGCTGAGCATAGTGGCTCATGCCTGTAATTCTAGCACTTTGGGAGGCAGAGGAGAGAGGATTGCCTAAGCCCAGGCATTCAAGACTAGCCTGGGCAACATAGCGAGACCTCATCTCCACAATAAATAAAAAAAAAAAAATAGCTGGGTGTGGTGGTGTGCGCCTGTAGTCCCAGTTACTTGGAAGGTTAAGGCAGAAGGATCCCTGAGCCTAGCAGGTGGAGACTGTGGTAGCCATAAGTGTGTGATACCGTGCTCCAGACTGGGTGATAGAGTGAGACTCCAACTCAAAAATAAATAAAGAAAGAAAGAAGAGGCCGGGTGTGGTGGCTCACGTCTGTAATTCCAGCACTTTGGGAAGTGGAGGTGAGAAGATTGCCTGTGCTCCGGAGTTCGAGACTAGCCTAGGCAACTTGACGAGACCTCGCCTCTACAATAAATCAAAAAATTTGCCAGGTGTGGTGGTGTATGCCTGTGGTTCCAGCTACTTGGAGGGCTGAGACAGAAGGTTCACCTGAGTACAGTAGGTCGAGGCTGTGGTGGCTGTAAGCATATCACTGCACTCCAGTCTGAGCAACAGAGTGAGACTCTGATGCAAAAAAATAAAATAAATTAAAAATAAAAATAAAAAAAGAAGAAATTCTGGAGACAGAATATCTAGGTCAAATCCTGGTTCTATCATTTGTCAGATATTTCATTTTTTGCAGAGATGAGGCCTTGCTTTGTTGCCCAGGCTGGTCTCGAATTCCTGGCCTCCAGCAATCCTCCTGCCTCATCCTCCCAAAGTGCTGGGATCAGGTATGAGCCTCTGCACCTGGTCAATTTTTGTTTTTCAAAAAAAGTCTGAAATAGGAAAACAGACACCAAAAGCAAACAATGGCTACAGCATCGATAATTTTTCTTTTTGATCATCTGTCATCTGTCATTTCTGGTTTATCTATGTTAAGCACGTATCATGTAATTTTTCTTGTTTTTTTTTAGAGATGGGGTATTGCTATATTGCCCAGGTTGATCTTGAACTTCTAGGCTCAAACAATCCTCCCACCTCAGCATGTACCACCACACCCAGTTTCAATTTTTTTAAAGTGTGTTTTTTTTAATACCTTATATAATGTTTCTGATCCACAGTTCTTAATCATACTATATATTGTCTTAATCATACCATATCTTTATATACAAATATTATCAATTAAATCTTATTTTGATAAAAATTTTAATACATTTTCATATAAAAATAAGTCTCTTAACAACAGTAGTTATAAATATGAATTGGAAATACAATAAGTTTAGGATGTAATGATCCTAGTTTAAGTATTAATGACATGTGTGACCTTGGGACAGGTTATTCTGAGTAATTTTTCCCTTCTTTTCACTTTTCTGTATTTTTCAAATATTCTCCAGTGGATATATATTATTTCTAGTTTGAAAGAAGCATTAAGAAAATAAACAAATAAAAAGAATGAAATGAATAATAGGAATAAAGAGCAGGTCATAGTGCCTGTCACAAAGTTGGTGCTCCGTAATTTGAAATTGTTTGAAACCCTCTATGTAATGGGGTTAGAGATCATTAACATATTTGTATTTTAGCACATTTACTTCTGTGAGCATTACTTTTATAATAAAACACTAGGATGTGCCTGAAGAACAGATGTAGTAGGGCTATCAACTTTCTTATTATTATTAACAGTAGAGTTTAAAGTAAAGTTATATGTCATCCATAGTTAAATCAGAATGTCTTCTACTACTAGACCACCTAAGAAAAAAGATTAATCAGGTTAGCATCTAGTACAATATCTTTGGAAGTTTTTATCCAGGTTGATAATCCAACTTAGTTTTTAAGATGAACTTAAATGGTAAAATACAAATAAGTCATTTACTTTATTTTAGTGCACTAAGTGGAGAGGACAGAATCTTTTGAACATCCAGAAATATTCAGTGAATCTGAATATGAGTTTTATTTAGAATTGGTGAAAGATTGACCTTAAATTTTTTTTTCTCCCAAAGAACAGCAAAATGCTCATGGTTATCAAAGCTGAGCCATGGGAACTTGAAGATTCATCGTATTGTTCTTTCTATTTTTCTTTGTTTGGAAATGTTCATGATAATAACTTGAAAAAACTTTTTAAAGACATTAAAAAATTCCAACCAATTAGACGATTCTATTCAAATTAGTTTGGTTTTCTGAAAGTAGCCAACAACCAACCAATGACTTACCTACTGTGTGGCAATAAGGCGTAAGAACCGAGGCTTTGATGCAATTGATTCCTCCTAGTATCTCTGCTAACATTTTATAAATCTGCTGCTGTGCTCCATTCATGCTGCCAATATCTTTATAAAAATAATTAGTCCATTTAAGTTAATCAGTTTTAATGAAAATCATCCCAAATTCTACAAATTGAAAAATAAGAGTTTCAATACAATACCATATATAATGCCACTAAATTCAATACAAATTGTTTACTCTCAACTAAAAGAGGTTTAGTGTCCCAAATTTTTTTTTTTTTTTTTTTAGTTGGAGTCTCACTCTGTCACCCAGACTGGAGTGCAGTGGCCGCTCCCGGCCACTGCAGCCTCGACTTGCTGGGCTCTGGCGATCCTTCCACCTCAGCCTTCCAAGTAGCTGGAACTACAGTCGTGCACTACCATGCCCAGCTAATTTTTTACTTTATTGTAGAGATGAGGTCTCACCAAGTTGCCCAGGCAGGTCTCGAACCGGCGGGCTCAGGCAATCCACTCACCTCAGCATCCCAAAGTGCTGGGATTACAGACTGAGCCACCGAGCCCGGCTCGGTGTCCCAAATATTAAGAAACTTTTTTTTTTTTTTTTTTTTTGAGTTGGAGTCTCACTCTGTCACCAAGACTGGAGTGCAGCGGCCGCTCCCGGCCACTGCAGCCTCGACCTGCTGGGCTCCAGCGATCCTTCCGTCTCAGTCTTCCCAGTAGCCGGAACTACAGGTGCGGGCTATCACGACAAGTTAATTTTTTTTTTTTTTTAATTGTACAGACGAGGTCTTGCCAAGTTGCCCGGGCGGATCTTGAACCCGCGGGTTCAGGCAATTCACTCGTCTCGACCTTCCAAAGTGCTGGGATGAAAGGCTGAGCCACGCAGCCCAGCCTAAGAAATTCTTATCACACAGATCTCATCTACAAAATCTCACCTAAAACATGAAACAGATCATGGCACTCTTGGGAAATCTGGTGTCATGATTAGGTTTAACAACATAACAATGTACTACCTAACAATTTACATTAGAATTAAACTTTGGCATCTGACCAAAAGAAAACTCAAACCTTTATTATATTGTTGACAGAAGCGGTTGTGAAACCATGGAATCTGAAACTCAGGGCATTCCAAGCAGACTGCTCTGTTTAACTCCATAAGACGAAGCTGGACCCTCATACTTAGAGATGAAGATAAAACTGAAATTAATTAAAAAAAATAACACTAATGGATTTGACAACTTAGACCTAGCAAAGACACCCATTTTTTTTTTTACATTTACTTATCTCTACTATTGGTAGATGCTTTTATTCTCATACAATAAAATCACTTCATTTATACATAAGTGCTTTATATTTTAAATTTTATTTTTGAGTTGGAGTCTCACTCTGTTACCCAGGCTGGAATGTAGTGGCACGCTTATGGCCACCGCATCCTCAACCTGCTGGGCTCAGGTGATCCTTCCACCTTAGCCTTCCAAGTAGCTGGAACTACAGGCACGCGCCACCATGCCCGACTAATTTTTTTATTTATTGTTGAGATGAGGTCTCGCCAAATTGCCCAAGCTGGACTCGAACCCATGGGCTCAGGCAATCTGCTCACCTTGGCCTCCCAAAGTGCTAGGATTATAGGCGTGAGCTACCGCGCCCAGCCTATATTTTAAAATTATTACATTCAGTGGCATGATTAGGACCAATTCCTATATTGTTTTCATTACTTGCAAATGCCAAAACTATATTTTTTAAAAATACTACAAAAAATTTTCATTGACCTAATATTCCACACTTTAGGAATTTATCTTAAGGAAAGAATGATTCACATATTACATGAATAACAATTCATTACTTATAATAATGAGGAATTAGAAACAACCTATAAGATAACAAATACATTTTATTATATCCATATAATGGTATATTTTGAGGTCAACAAAAAATCATGACATAAAAAACATTTAACAGCATGAAAAATCTTTCAAAATATAGTTAGATGGAAAAGGCAGCATATAAAAGTGAATGTATAAGGCCAGGAGTGGTGGCTCAAGCCTGTAATCTCAGCACTTTGGGAGGCTGAGGCGAGAGGATTGCCTGAGCTCAGGGATTTGAGACCAACCTGGGCAACCTGGTGCGACCCCATCTACAATAAATAAAAAAATAAGCTGGGCATGTAAGTGCACACCTGTAGTCCCAGATACTTGGAAGGTTGAGGCAAAAGGATCACCTGGGCCCAGCAGGTCGAGGCTGTGGTAGCCATGAGCATGCCACTGCACTCCAGCCTGGGCAACAGAGTGAGACTCCAGCTCAAAAATAAACAAAAAAACAAACAAACAAGCAAATGAATAAACAAACAAATAAATAAAATGAATGTATAAATAATCCAAATTGTGTTTTAAAATATATTTGTATATAGGTATATAAACATACACACAAGGGCAGAGAAAGAAGAGAAATACTCCAAAACAGTAGTAGTTTCACTAGGTAGTAAGATTATGGGTAATTTATTTTCTATTTTATACTTTCACATGTTTTCTAAATTTTCTACAGTAAGCATGAATAATTTTATAAACATAAAAAAGTTATTGGGATAACCCCTTTGGGCCCCTTCCCACTGTGAGAGCTTCTCTGTCCTCTCAATAAATCCTGCTTTCTCACTTAAAAAAAAAAAAAGTTATTACATTTTAGTACTTCAGTATAGGTAGAGTTGAGACTTGGGCATAAAGTACAAGTGATAATTTAATAAGTGAAAAAATAGATACATACTTTCAAGTTGAGAATCCAATCTGGCTAAGAATTTGATGTTAAAAATTTCCTTTAGCAGATCTTCTGGAAAACATTCAAGTGTGGCCAAAGAGAAACCTAGAAACACTAACATGACAGGATCCAATATACCTAAAAGAAAATTAAGATTATTTAAACAAATTACAATGTACAGCTGCCTCACTTATACATAAAGTTATATTTTATTCAGGTAGAGCCGGATTCTTAAAAAAATGATACATAGCCTTGACAAAACTAATCTCTACTGCGACAAGTCAGGATAGTGGTCAGGTAGTTGCCTCAGGCAGGAGTGAAGCAAGAAAAAAGGCCAAGAGGAGAGGGGTCCTGTGGTCATATTCTGTTTCTTTTTTTTTTTTGAGTTGGAGTCTTACTCTGTTGCCCAGGCTGGAGGGCAGTGGCATGCTCCTGGCCACCGCAGCCTCGACCTGCTGGGCTCTGGTGATCCTTTTGCCTCGGCCTTCCAAGCAGCTGGAACTACAGGTGCGCGCTACCACGCCTGGCTAATTTTTTGATTTGTTGTAGAGATGAGGTCTCGCCAAGTTACCTAGGCGGGTCTCGAACCCTCGGGCTCAGGCAATTCACTCATCTCAGCCTCCTAAAGCGTGGGATTACAGGCTGAGCCACCGAGCCCAGCTATATTCTGTTTCTTGATCCGGGTACTGATTCCCTGGGTGATTCAATTCATATAACTTCACACAATTATGCTAAGGGTATATGAACATTTCTGTTGTTATCATACTGTAATAAAAAAGTTTTTACAGGCCGAGTGCATTGGGTCACGCCTATAATCCCAGCACTTTGGGAGGCTGAGGTAAGAGTACTGCCCGAGCCCACAGGTTACAGACCAGCCTGGGTCACTTGGTGAGACCTCACCTCTACAATAAATAAAAAATTAGTGGGGCATGGTAATGCACACTTGTAGTGCCAGCAACTTGGAAGGTTGAGGTGGAAGGACTGCCTGAGCCCAGCAGGTTGAGGTTGCGGTGGCTGTGAGTGTGCCACTGTACTCCAGTCTGGGCGACAGAGTGAGACTCCAACTCAAAAAAAAAAAAAAGTTTTTACACACCTGTAATCTCAGCACTTTGGGAGGCAGAGGCAAGGGGATTGCCTGAGCCCAGGGGTTCGAGATCAGTCTGGGCAACTTGGCAACACCTCATCTCTACAATAGATACTTTTAAAAAATTAGCCGGGCATGGTGGTACATGCCTGTAGTTCCAGTTACTTGGAAGGCTGAGGTTGAAAGATCACGTGAGCCCCTCAGGTCGACGCTGGGGTGGCCATGAGTGTGCCACTGCACTCCAGCCTGGGCGACAAGTGAGATTCCGACTCCAAAAAAAAGTTTTTAAAAGCACCCCGAGGAAGCGGCAAGATGGTGACGGGGCAACCCGGTCTGTGAAACCCTCTGCAAAGGAGAACTGCAGTGGGTCTCTGACTC